TAACTGGTTGAGGCAGCCCATTTGTAAAGCCTGCAAGGACCTCAGATTAACGCACAGTCGTGACAAATCACAGTATTGCATTCCTGAAACTAATATAACCTGTATGTTAACTGCACTGGAATTAAAATTAAAAAATAATAAAAATGAATAAAAACTAAAACTAACACAAAAAGCTCTCAGGAGATTGAAGTCTGCTGATGGTCGGTCTTGGTATCCTGGTGAGAGTGTCAGTGGGGGACAGGCCGGGGCAGTGACCGCCCACAGGTGCACCGGCTAGGGGAACCTTTTCTGTCACCCATGTGGCTTCACTCTGACATTCTTCATTCTGCAGGGCCATACGGGTCCGCTTGTCTTTACACACCCAAACACATTCACCTAAAGCCACCCGGTCAATAAAACCCCTTTATATCAACAAAACAGAACATACAACAAGTTTACAGATTTTCGGACCACATAATTATGGCATCTAATTTACAAAGCCTCTAAGCCAAGTTTTCTATTGTTGCACAAACCACTGGCAGTCCTGATGACATTATATACAGTTCTGTGTGGTCTTTACTGATTTCCCGCCCCACCTCACCCTCAAACAAAGGCAACTACAACCAACGTACAAAAAGACAAAATACTAGGGAACTACCTCATGCCAGAACCATCAAGGGCTGTTTGCTAAATTAGTGACCAGGAGGACCCAAAGAATAGGTGACATTGGAGTCAACTCACAGCTCCCTGCCAGACGCCTGGGCTCTGCTCCTTCCTCAGAAAGGGCAGGAGAGGAAACCGCCTCCGGGTCAGGGAGGCCGGATCCTTCCAGCAGCAGGAAGTGGGAGGAGCAAGTGCACCGGGGAACCAGAGGCGATCTTGCAATTCCGGGGGCCAGGCCCTCGGTGCGCAAAGGCTCTGCGCCCGAGGGGAGACGCGTGATCGTGACTGCCCTCTGACATTTTCCCCCAGCTGCTTCCCTCGAGATGGAAAATTGACAGGGACCAACTTTGCAACAATGTGTCAGTGTGACTGAGCCTAGCAAATACTGCGGATTCTGCAGACCAGCTGAGCGCTGCTGCCTCGTGGCCCCAGTGCCCCGAGGATGCAGGGTGTTGAAGAAGCCTTGCTTCCTCCTCCCAGAGCCGCAAAACTGAGAGCGGGGCCAAAGAGGACGCTTCTGGGACCCCGCCACCGGTGCTGGGGTCCCCGCGCTGGCTGTCACCTGGCCTTGGGTCTGCAAGGTGGATTTAAAGCTCCCAGCCCTCCGGCACCCGCCCAATGGAAGCTGCAGAGGCCGCCGAGGTAAACAGGGGGTTCCACCTCTGCTGTGTTTGGGGAGTGACACCCTCAGGCAGGCGCCGTCCGTCCGGGCAGGAGCAAAGTTACTAGAAAAGTCCAAGGGGTGAGATGTTTTGGAGGGGAAAAGAAGGCAGCAAAAGAGAGTATTACCTTCCAGTGAAAAATGGACACCTTTTCCAAGAAGGTTTAATCAGAGCGTGTAGGCACAGTCAGCATTTGAAATATTCCCTGTACCTTCGGAATTATTAGCGGGGGCAAGGAAGCAAGAGGAGGAGGAGGACAGAGATAAGAGGGACATGGTTTTAGGGGAGTATAAAATACAGTATAAAATACAAACATGAAGTGTATGTGTCATGATAACAAAGGCTTCTGGGTTAAACTCACCCCTGCAAAGGAGACAGTGCTCAGCGTGGGGGAAGTATTTGTAAGAAACACAGATTAAGTGAAATGGCTCAGAAAGGTAGAAACCAAAGGCGACGGCACTGCATTCCAGAGAATCTGAAGCAAGCACACACACAAGAAATGTGAGAGGGCAGTAATTTTAGACAGTTTTAGAAAATCAAAGTTAACCTTTCCAGGGGGGACACACTTACCGAATCTTTTTTGATATTGTAATATAACATCAGGATGTTCAATAAAAACTGCTTGGAGGGGAGCCTGGGTGGCTTAGTCGGTTAAGCGTCTGACTCTTGACCTCAGCTCAGGTCATGATGTGAGGATTTGTGAGTTCGAGCCCCGTGTTGGGCTCTGCACTGACAGCCCGGAGCCTGGTTGGGATCCTCTCTCTCTCTCTCTCTCTCTCTCTCTCTCTCTCTCTCTCTCTTCCTGTCCCTTTCTCTATCTCTCTCAAAATAAGTAAACATTAAAAAAAGTTTTTTAAGCTGCTTGGACATAAATGGAAATTAAAAGAGATAATAATGAAAACTTCAATATACCTTGTAGATTTTAATAGGTCAACTATGTAGAAACAAGTAAGATTTTTGGGTCTGAATATGATTACTGCCATAGCTATGCCCAGCTCCATATCTTGGAAATAGAGGATAAACCTTTGCTAATACCTATGGAGTATTTCCCAGCTTGCTTATGTGCTTATTCATAAGGACAACCTCAGCAGTTTGTCTATTAAAATAATTTGTATGAGCTCCCATGTTTTTAGCTTCTGGTTGTGTTTCATTCGCTTACACAAAATGAATTAACGAAGACATGTTTAATTCCAGATCCAGAGTTTTGCCATTTCTAATCAGCAACCTTGCATATAAATGCATCTTGATGAATTTTTGTGATGCACCGTTATGGGAACTCTTACTACTGGCAATACTGAGTCAATTGAATTTTTTCTAATGTTTGTTTATTTTTGAGAGAGAGAGAGACAGAGCATGAGCAGGGGAGGGGCAGAGAGGGAGGGAGTCACAGAATCCCAAGCGGGCTCCAGGCTCCGAGCTGTCAGCACAGAGCCCGACTTGGAGCTCGAACCCATAGACCGCGAGACCATGACTGGAGGTGAAGTCGGATGCTTAACCCACTGAGCCACCCAGGCGCCCCTAGTGAATTTTTGATTGATACCTACTAAATTTCCCTCCAACCATCATTTGGACCATTTCTTTCAATAAATTCGCTAACCAGTTATTATTATCGCTTAATGGGAAAAAATTTATTTCTGTATTAATTGATCAGCAAAGTTACCGGGTGTGTTGACTGTTTCTGTAGCTTTCCAGTCAACCCACTTTGATTTTCAAGGTAAGCAATCATGTCATTTACTCATAACGTGAATTTCACCCTTTCCCAGGGTTGATTCCTTTATTTCGCTCTCAACTCCTTCCCCTTAAGTGAAAACCTCACTGCTTATTGCACAGACGAAATGCCAACCCATGTACTGACCCGCCACGTGGCTGCCCATAAATCCCACCTTCTCTGGGCTACTTCGGATTAACTCTAGGTTACATCCAAGGCCCATGCCTGCAGTGTGCTTGGGTTTCATCCTCTCTGGATGACTCAAATACTTTTCATTCTGCGTGTGCGCCTCTCTCCCACGGTGAAACCGCATGACTGAATAATGTCATCAGCTTAGGTGTTACTACTGCACCTAAGTCTAAGACAGACAAACAATCCATGTTCCCCCACAGGGACTGTGTCATTTATCTGCTCCCTTTTACAGTGCTGTTTGTTCTTGCTGTCTCCATTTCCTCCGCTCACATTCCCTCCTTCCTCACCCCCACTCTCCCTTCTCTCCCTCCGTCCCCCTCCCTCTCCCCTTCCTTCCTTCCCTCCTTCCTTCCTTCCTTCCAAAACACAGGTAGAGAAAACTGCCTGAAACAAACATGTAATTCCGTGAACACTCTTTTAATCACCACTGTGGACATAAAAGAATATTGCCAGAACCTCATAAGTTTTCCATGTGGTCTGTCCTAATCACATCTTCCTCCCCTTAAAAGTAATAACTATCCTGACATTTAGAACAATGTCTTCTCTGCCTGTCTTTACGGATTGGCCACCCTCCACCCTGATAGTGTTGCCAGTTTTTAAAAATGTAATGCTTTTAAATTTTTTTTTTTCTCAACGTTTTTATTTATTTTGGGGACAGAGAGAGACAGAGCATGAACGGGGGAGGGACAGAGAGAGAGGGAGACACAGAATCGGAAATAGGCTCCAGGCTCCGAGCCATCAGCCCAGAGCCTGACGCGGGGCTCGAACTCACGGACCGTGAGATCGTGACCTGGCTGAAGCCGGACGCTTAACCGACTGCGCCACCCAGGCGCCCCAAAAATGTAATGCTTTTAAAGTCACTTTTGATCTAGACGCTCCCCCTCCTGTCCCTTTTCTTTTTCTTTGTAATTTGTCTGTTAAAAAATCTATTAAGGCCTTTGATTGTAAAATTCCCACAGTTTAGATTTGCTGACGATGTCCTTAGGATTTTGGTCCACGCATTCTGCACTCTCCAGTCTCTGTCTTTCTTGCAAAACAGCAGCTGCTATCTACAGGCTTGACTGTACTCAGCTGATGTTCTTAGCAAGACCCTGGTGACGTGTGTTCTTGGGTCAGGATGTACACGGTGTGTCTGTATCTCTCCTTGTGATGTTAACCGCCGTCGGGGCAAAAACAAAACAAAACAAAACAAAAAAACAGATCCCTTTATTCACTAGAGTTTGTTCAGTAAAGATATCCTACATATACCAATTCTTATTTATGCATTAGGGGAAATAATTCTATAAAGACACACGTCTACTCTTTATTTACCTCTGACAGAGTTGAAAGAAGAAAGGCACAGTATCAGATTCTCTTTTGAACTTGAATGTGCCCTTAGTCTCCATCATTCGTTCTAGTCAGGGTCACCTTTAAGGTACCTCTTGCCAAACCCATTAGTAAATTCCAGACCTTATGTAATTTGACTTCTGGGTAACATTTCCCTCCCGGGGTGATACCACATTCTCCAGCTGTGCTCCCTGCTCAACCCAGGGCCCTGCCCAAGTCCTCCCTTGGAAGCCTTCCCTTCTCTTCCTCACCCTTAAGGTCAGACAGTCCCACCCTACTGGTTCCCCAGAATCTCAGAGCGACACCTCTTCTGGGCTGCGTGCTGTCCCCACCTGGACATGGCCCCCTTCCCCCAAACCCAAACTTGTACCCCGCCCAGCACCACAGTCTGCTCAGGGGGTACCCTCAACCCTGCCCTCTCCTGCACCCCTACTTTCAAAATCGGACCTCAAGCCGATCACTTCTTACCTTCAGAGGCGTGTTTGTTCTGGTCTGTCTGTATCCCAGTCCTGAATTTCTGCTTTCCCAAATATGAGACAGAAAAGTAGGCCTGTCACATTAACACCTGCCGTCAGGAAGAAGATTTTAAACCAGCCAGATTCTGGATTCTGAGGATTTTAGTGCAAAGTAATTATAAATTAGTGGGCTTGAGGTGCTTTTTAACACTTCCAATATCATATTAAAATCAGTACAGGTTTAGCACAAATCACTTTACAGACATGGAAAAACACACTTATAAGGAGCAAAAAAAATTTGTCAGTTCACTCTACAAAGATAATTACCATTTATCTTCCTCCTTTTTTGATTTGTGTCTATGTACATATAATTTTTCATATATCAAAATGGCATTATGATGTACATAGTGCCCAAGCCAAGAATGCATATATTTTTATTTAGAATTATAAACGTGTTTAAAAAAAAAGAAATATGAACGTTTGCATATCAAGAAATATTCGACCTTTGCTGACTTATTAGTAATCCAGAGTTTAGATTTATAAAATGTGTAAAACATCCCTTATTTCCTTATATTTAAGTGGTTTTTCACTTTTTGCTGCTATAAATTGGAGTACTTTTGAACAAAATTTATCAAATACCTTTTCCTTATTCCTAACCCATTTTCTCTTTGAGCCTCTAATACGATCAGTTTCATTAACAGATCTTGTAATATTCAGCCACTTTAACTTGCATAGAAAATGGCTTACTTAATCATGGTGTCATAGGCATATATTTTAATATGCTGGTGGACTCTATGCACAGGTAATTTATTTCATTTTTGCATCTATATTCAAAGATGGCATTGAATTTTAATTATGTTTGAGATCTGTTTTACCATTTTGCCTTTTAACTTTTGTATCAGCTTAAAATTAAATTTTATGTAGTTGAACGTATAATGCATCGTGATTGGGTTTAAATGTCTGGTGTCATGCTTTCCAAGGATGTCCAACCAGAAATTTATATAATTACTAAGTCCTATTTTACATTAGTATCTTTATTGTTCTTTCCTTCCTTTATAGCTTTCATCATCTAGAATAAATTCTGGGATCAGGTGTGAGAACGGAGTATAATTGTATTTTTCTACAAGGGGGTTTGCCACTATGTATTTGTTTTTTTGTTTTTTTTTTTTAATTTTTTTTTTTCAACGTTTATTTATTTTTTTGGGACAGAGAGAGACAGAGCATGAACGGGGGAGGGGCAGAGAGAGAGGGAGACACAGAATTGGAAACAGGCTCCAGGCTCTGAGCCATCAGTCCAGAGCCCGACGCGGGGCTCGAACTCACGGACCGCGAGATCGTGACCTGGCTGAAGTCGGAACCCTTAGCCGACTGCGCCACCCAGGCGCCCCTGTTTTTTTTTTTGTTTTTGTTTTTTTTAAAATAAATCCATGCCCACGGTTTGAAATGAAACTTCATCATCCAGAATGTATTTTTTTCGCAACTTGACCAAATCATCATCGGTTTTATTTAAAATATAATTTAGGAAAAAAATATATATATATATATATAATTTAGGAGTAGACCTTGAGAAATAAAAACATGTTTCCAGACTAGACATTAAATATATTTAATTATACTGATCTCTCTAATTTAAACATGCCACGCTTGGCAGCTCATTGGCAAAGTCAAGAAAAGGAGCGAGACCTGCCCAGAAATTCAACGACAAATAATACAGTTTGCAATGATTTGAAGTTAATACAATTCATTGTGATTTGGAATTAAAGTCCAGCATGGAAGCTTGACTGTGCCTCTTTCTTTGTGTATTTTCACTGATACTGCTTCTAGGTGTGCAGTTTTCTTCATAGGGGACTTTGCACAAATTTCATTTTTCCCCCATAGGTATTTTGTGTATGGGTTGATAAACTGCTCTTTAGATTTTTCCACAATGTGCGAACTGACTTTGATTCTTTCTCCCCAGGGGGACACTTTGTTCTCTGTACATCATGTTATTTTGTTCTTCTGCATTTACATTGTATATACCTGTAACTTACTTTTCTTGAGCAACTGGGTTTGCTAGCATTTTGCTACAGGATAAGATAGCAAACAGGAGTTTGTTTTTCCTGATTTCAAAGGGTGCGCGAGTAATGAGACTAATAGCTGTTATGGGTTGAGTATATGAGCGTCTGACACTTGCATGCATGATCGGATTCAGTAAACCCATAAATCCCATGATGTTTCTATGTCATTTTGGCCATTTATAGCTGGAGACACTAAGAATTAGAGGGAAAAATGTATCTGGGTCACGTAGCTTAGAAGTAGCTGAATAAGATAGTTTTGCCAGAGAAATACACACTCTAAACAGCTAAGCGGCTGACCCTCAATTGTTTGCACTATTATTGCCTAAAGAAAACTTTTTTCCTGGGGCGCCTGGGTGGCGCAGTCGGTTAAGCGTCCGACTTCAGCCAGGTCACGATCTCGCGGTCCGTGAGTTCGAGCCCCGCGTCGGGCTCTGGGCTGATGGCTCAGAGCCTGGAGCCTGTTTCCGATTCTGTGTCTCCCTCTCTCTCTGCCCCTCCCCCATTCATGCTCTGTCTCTCTCTGTCCCAAAAATGAATAAACGTTGGAAAAACAAAATTTAAAAAAAAGAAAACTTTTTTCCTGATAATATAGCAATGCCATCTTTCTTTGGTTAATGTTTGCTTCATTCTTTTTTTTATGCCGTCCTTACAACTTTCAATATTTCTATCTCTTTATTCTAGGCAGGTATCTTATATATAAATGGCCTAAGAATGGATTGAGTTTTTAATCCAGTCTTAAAAACTTTGTCCTTTAACCACAGAAGTTAGTACGTCTATATTTATTGTGACCACTGGCGTATTTGCTACAATTTCTGTGTTTTCAATCTTTCCTATATATTAACCATATTCTTGCTCACCCCCCCCCCCACACACACATATCATTTCTTCTTTCAAATCGAGGGGGTTTTGCCTTTTTTTTTTTTTTCCGCATCGCATGTTTCTCCTCTACCCTGGTTTGAAAGTTTCACATTCTGCCTATTTTTAATGGTTACCCATATACCAAAAAAAGAAAATTGTAATATTAATCCCTATATTTTAAAAAATCAGAAGGACCAGGAGGAGGGGAAACCGGGAGTTGTTCAGTGAGGAAAAAGTTTCAGTCATGCAGGATAACAAAGTTCTAAAGATCTGTTGTACGACAATGTACACATAGTTAACAATACTCTTAATACTGTAACGTACACTTAAAAATTAAGAGGACAAATTTATGTGTCTTTTACTACAATAAATTTTTTTTAAAAAAAGTCAGAGAAGAATCCTATAGCCTCTGAATAAAAACTGATTCATGAAAAAAAATTAGCTCTTTAGTTTCTCATCAGGGTCTCCCAGATTATTTTTTCTTATACTCTAGCTCTGTCTTGTTTTTCCTTATAACTATACATGTTGTGTTATTAACAGTATGTTATAAAGTCAGTATTTTTAAAACTTATGTTTATGTTACTTTCCTTTTGAAAGAGAGAGGGAGAAAATGAGTGGGGGAGGGGCAGAGAGAGAGAGGGAGACACAGAATCCGAAGCAGACTCCGGGCTCTGAGCTGTCAGCACGGAGCCTGATGCAGGGCTCGAACCCACAACGGTGAGATCATGACCTGAGCTGAAGTCGGACAGTTAACCAATTGAGCCACCTAGGTGCCCTTATAAAGTCAGTATTCTAAAAAAATTTCTCCATTACCGTCTTGCATAATTTGGGGTGTATTCTAATTCCAAAACAATTCCTTTTGTTACTAGTGTGAATGATGCCATATATATATATAAAATGCCCACTAGGTAACATTTCTGGTATTTATAAACGCTGCTATTTAAGTATGTTGATTTCGTTTTGAGCAAACTTACTGAACTCCATTCTTCCTTTCTTCCATTTTCTATTTTTTATTGCTCGTGTTGGTTTTCTGAAGCCTTATTTTATTCTCTCTGATTCTTAAATCTATATTTTTCTTTCCTTTTAAAACAGCGTCTAGAAATTCCAGTCCAGTGTTAAAAAGTTGATAAGTAATGTAGGTATGAACATCCTTTTCTCATTTCTCACCTTCAGGAGTATGCATCTTATTTTTTATTCAACTTTTTAATTTCCTTATTGTTTCTTTTATAAACTGTCAGCTACCATCATATACAAAGCTTTGTGAGGTTACATTACTGACGAAACATCGTCACTTAACATCATCTGATGCAAATAATTGCTTTTACCACCTTTCCCAAATGCAAACACCTGCTTTGAAACACTTTAAGTTCTTCTTCTTCTTTTCTTTTGGAATGAAATATCTAGCTTTATATTTTTTTTTGGAATTTTTTTTTTGGTTTTATTTAAATTCCAGCAGTTAACATACAGTGCTATATTCCTTTCAGGAGTACGATACAGTGATTCAACACATCCATACGTTACCTGGTGAGAAGCCACCCCCACCCCGTGACCATCCGTGAGTTCTCGATAGTTAAGAATCTGTTTCTTGATTTGCCTCTTTCCCTCTCTTTTTTCCCCTTTGCTCATTTGTTTTATTTCTTAAATTCCACGTGTGAATGAAGTCTTATGGGATTTGTCTTTCTTTGACTGATTTCACATCGTGTAATACTCTCTACCTCTATCCACATCAGAAATGCATCTTAAATTTCTTCATCCGGTAAAAATAATCTATAGTATTTTGGCGTAAAAAATTTCCACATTAGGGTGCCTGGGTGGCTCAGTCAGTTGAGCGTCTGACTTCGGCTTAAGTCAGGATCTCGCAGTTTGCGAGTTCGAGCCCCACGTCGGGCTCTGTGCTGACAGCTCAAAACCTGAAGCCTGCTTCAGATTCTGTGTCTCCCTCTCTCTCTGTCCCTTTCCTGCTCATGCTCTGTCTCTCTCTGTCTCTCAAAAATGAATAAACATTAAAAAAAAAAAAAGTTGAAAAAAATTTCCACATTAAAGAAGTTCCTTTCTTTCCTTATTTTGCTAATCGGATGCAAAAAAAAAAAAAAAAAAAAAAAAAAAAAAAACCTCATATGTAGCTATTGGAATTTTATGTGCCAATTGAGATAATCATAGAAGTTTTTTTTCTACGTTGATCTAATGCGATGAATTATACCAGTAAATACACTTACATTAAACTATCTTTGCTTTACCGAAATAAAATCCACTTGGTCATGAGGTATTGTTTTTTAATATACTCTTAGCTTTGGTTGACTAATAATTTCTTTAGGACTTTTGCATCTCTGTTCATGAGTTAAATAGGCCTAAATATTTCTTCCGTTGCTATCATCTGGTTCTGGAATCAAAATTATACAAGCCTTATAAGTGCTTTCAGAATTCTTTTTCTTAATTTCCGGTATCAGTAGTTGAGAACAGGAATAAACTATCCAATATTAGGTAGCACACAGCTGGTAAGCCACCTCGGCCTGAGTTCAGGTTCAAGATGTTTGAATGCTGCTTCAGGTTTTCCATTTTGATTGGTCCATCCGTGGTCTCTATCTTTCGTGAGCCAATTTGGGTAAATTATATATTTTTAGAAATGATTTTGTTCATCCAGGTTTCCCCACTTTTCAGCCTGGGGTTGTTCTGAATATTCTTGGCTTTTAATCTACATTGTCCCTGAAAACATTTCCCTTTTCTCATTTGGCATTTTATTTGAATCTTGTCTCTTGTATCCTGCTCCAGAAAGTTTATCTGATTAATCTTTTCACGTTACCAACTTTAAGTTTTATATATCTTCTCTATGGTTTTATTAACTGTAGAATTTACTTATTTGCCCCCTTATTACTTTAGTCCTTGTCTTTCAGGTTCACTCTGTTGTTTTTCTC